TCATCTGATCTTGGTCATTACCCATTCACTGAGAATGTAAGTTTTGAATGTTTAAGGATTCATCAGTTTACGATATATCTATATATATCTCTCTCTCTCTATTATCTATCTATCTATCTATCTATCTATCTATCTATCTATCTATCTATCTATCTATCTATTCATCCATCTATCCAGCTAGCTATCATTTATCTGTATATGCACATGCATATTCTAATATTTATTATATATTCATATATTTATAAAAGTGATATCACTTTCTCCTTCTTAATCTAATACATAATAGACATCTTTCTATTGCAATAAGTACACAACACAATACTTTTTACAGCTGTAGTATTTGATTGTATGTCTATATAATTATACTTGATCCCTCATTGCAGGTATTCAGAACTTTTCCCATTTTTCCTGATTATAAACAATGATTCTTATATTTTCTTTCCATTCTCTCTCTCTTAGATTTAAATCTTTAAAAAAGTTTATTTCCTTGTGGCATATGAGGTAGGACTATAGTGTATTTATTTCCAAATAAATTGTCTCAACAACACTAATTACTGAACAATCTCTACTACTCTATCAATTTGAAGCACTTTATCATACCCTAAATTCGTAAGGTTTCCTTTAGAGCTTCTGTTCTGTTCTAGTCCCCTCTTCATGTAATTCTTTGATAGGGATACCCTATTTCAACAATTATAGTATATAATATATTTATTAGATATCTGATAGAGGAAGGGCATCCTCCTCCATTTTTTTTTCAGACAAATATTCTGACTTTTAACCAAAGCCACTCATGATGAATAAAATGAATGCATTTGTGTTTATTCTTTTGGATTGCTCTTGTTCTTCTAGAAAAACCAGGGTGCAGAGACTAGACTGGTGTGAGGGAATCTGTGTGGAGGATCTGCGTGGAAGCCGGAATGAGTCACAAGTTGAATGAGAGGTATTCCATGGGTGGAAGATTTCCGAGCAGCCTGCACACACGTCTGGGCTACTGTCGTCAGTCACTGTGGGAGTCAGCTGCCTGGAACTGCGTCTCCCACTGGAGGAGAGGTTGTCAAACCTGGTTGCACATTAAAATCATCCGAAGAGCTTTCCCAAAGTAATGATGCCAGACCTCACTCCAAACCGAGTGAATCAGAATCTCTTGGACAGGGGTCTCCAGGTATGGGCGCATTTGAAAATTTCCCCAGGCATTCCCAGGCCTTTGTACCGCTGCCGACATGTGGCGGACAGAACAGAACTGAATTGAATTCAGATGAAGACACCCAGACTTATACGTCTCTACCAATTCTCCTAGAGAAGGGACACAGATGATTAGTGCCCACTTGGGAATCTTTATGACTTTCCCTCCGTCACACTGGGAGAAGAAGCTTCAAAGGGAGAAAAATGAGCATGGTCTTGGTCCAGTAAAGGTAGTAGCTCAACAGTCTGAAAAGAGGAAGCTTCGAGACCATTTAGGCTGTCCCCGTATTTTAAGCTCATGAAGGCCAGAGAGGTTAGATGACTTTGCAAGGTGGCACAGCTCTCGGTGGCACATCTGGAACAGAAACCAACCTTTTGTATTCCAGACATCCGTGTTATAGCCCGCTGTCCTCATGTGAGTGCGTGTGAGGGAGTGTTTAAGTGTGGGTGTGAGAGACTGGGTGTGTGAAGGGGTGCATGTGTGCATGTGAGTACTAGGAATGGGAGGAGGTGGGGAGCCTGAGCAGAGAACTAGTCGCATTATAATAAATAGAAAACCAGGAGCCCTGGCCCCTCTCTTTCTAGCACGTAGTTCACTGCGTTCTCTCCAGGTTGGTCTCTGGCAGGTGCAGCAGTGGGGGCCTGGGAGGCAGGGTAGGCCTCCAGGGCCCAGCGCCGGCCGTGGGGGAGGTGCTCCGCACTAAGGTTTACTGATGCAGAATTTGGGGAAGGGCTATTGTGAGTGGTCTCAGGCTCATTCTGGGGTGAGATGGTGTGTTGGGAAAGCATTGACCATGCTTTGCCTGGCTTAGGGTCCAGGATTGTTCTGTGGATGGATGGCAGTTTTCTCCATCTGTAAATTCAAGCCAAGTAGAAATGTCTATGCTCACACGTCACTGAATGTGTCCTCCATGGACAGACCTCTTTTCACCCCAGTGTCTTCCAGGGTGTTCCTCTTTGCCAGGCCTAAGAAACCGGGGTGACCTTTGGATCCTGGCACCCAAAGTCCACCCCCCCTCTTTCTTCTTGAGTCTTCAGGGAGGCCACATGGAAGAAGCAGTACCTGCCAGGAGAGCCTTTGGTGGGTCTGATCTGCTAGCTGGGTCCTGATAGAAGAGTGCAGGCTTGTTGTATTCAGGCAAAGCCCAAGCTCTGATTTGCTAGAGAAAAACCACTACAGAAGCAAAATTACCCAAGAGTTGGGTAATGCCGATTAGAGACTTACCCGAGCAGTTGGAGATCACGGTCTTGTGGGCTTTGCTCTTAATCCAAATGGTTCGGATCACAATGGCATAGATGGCACTGTGGAAAGGACCAGAAGTAATACTAACATGGCTGGTGGGTCCCTACTGTGAGGACTGTGAGGACACATACAGAGGACCACTCCCAGTTACCTGAGTGTGAGGTATGGCCGGGGGGAGGGGGGTTCTCTAAACCATGCCTGGTCCCTATGCTTGCTGATTGTAGAATCCCAGCATGTTACAGCTACCTCTCTTTTAACTGAGGAGGCTAGAATCTGGTGAAGTGAAATGGTTCTCCGAGATAACTCATATGGTTAGAGGTAGAGCTGAGATTAGAATCTAAACTCAGGGTTTGGGATCGGAAATATTTTTATTTGTAAGCAGCTTTACTGCTTGCTGGTTGTATGACCTTGACCTTAGACATTCTTTAATGTGGCCCCATGATTCCTGCCTCTGGTATTCATACCTTTGTGATATCCCCTCCCCTTGAGTGTGGTGGGAACTGTGACTGGCTTCTAATCCTTGCATTGGGCTGAAGGTGATAAATGTCTGTGATCGTGTAAGATTGTAGTGCCTGTCTTGCTAGTGTCTCTCTCTGTTGCTACCATGAGTCCTACAGTAGCAGAAAATTAATTCTGCCAAGAACCCCCGGGAGCCTGAAAGAAGATCCTTCCCCAGTTGAGCCTCTGATGATACCCCAGCCCTGGCAGACACCTTGTTGGTTGCCTTGCTTAAGCAGAAGTAAGCCATGCCCAGTTAAGCCATGTCCAGATTCCTGACCCACAGACCCTGGAGATAATAAATGTATGTTGTTTTAAGTAACCAGGTTCATGACAATTTGTTACCCAGCAATAGATAAGCAATATACTGACTGATACAGGCTGAATGTTTGCATCACCACCCCTAACTTTATATGTTGAAATGTAAATGACCTTGGTGATAGTAGTAGGAGGTGGAGCCTATGGGAGGTGATTAGGTCATGAGTGCTCTTATAAAAGACACCCCACAGAGCTCCCTAGCCTCCTCCGCCATGTGAGGACACAAGGAGAATTCGGCTGCCCAGAAGAGAGCTGTCACCAGAATCTGACCATGCTGGTGCCCTGTTCTTGGACTGCCAGCCTCCAGCACTGTGAGAACTGAAGTTCTGTTGTTTACAAACCACCCAGTCTGTAATATTTCGTTACAGTAGCCAAAACAGACTAAGGCACTGGGCCTCTGTTGACACTAAAATGGAGTTAATAACACAAACTTCTTATGAATTTTTTTTTTTTTGGATCCAATGTGACAACATTGAAAATGCCAAGCACAGTGCTTGGAAATTAGCAGAGACTCAATAAATGTCATTTTCTTTCTCCTCTTTCTTCCCCATTTTTCACGTAATATTACACCTACTGTAGCATGACATAATCTATACCTAACAGGAAAACAAAGTGTTAATGACTCAAAAGCATCGGGAAATTTTGTCTTTTGTCCCCTTTGATAAATATAAAAATTTATACTCTTCCTTAGTTAGTTACGTGATGCTTCCAATATATTAAGAACCTCAACTAAAAACTTTGGGACAAAGCGTTGCTTTACTTTAGAATAGCACAAACTTCCCTCTTGAGATTTACTGGTTAAAACAAAATCAGAGGTCTGGTCTGCAGTGGCTGATGAAGCACTAATTGTTTTTAATGATCTTTAGAATATAACCTAATTAATGACTGTGTTAAAAACCTTCTGCTCCTTATTGCTTTTCCCATTCTTGCTTAGTGAACCCCTCTGAGTGCTCCAGGTGAGCTTGGAGTCTTTTTGGAACATCCCCAGTTCTTTGCATATACCTGCCCAGGGATTTTTCTGGAATTTGCATGTCTACATTAAAGAAGAAATGAGGAAAAAATTACTTGTGAGTCTATTCTTTACCTTAAGTTGGACATTTGTTACAGCAGAGAAACTTTTTCCCCAGGTAAATGAACTACAAGGAAAGGTTACAGCCAGTATGAAACATTAATTATGTATTACAATTGCAACCCCAGTGCTAAATCAATCAATAATTCAAATATTTATTGGCCATCAGCCATATACACAATGGAAAATTAAGGAAGGTCTTATGTGTTAGGGGTTTGGGACTAAGTCATCTCTGCCTCATCTCCTTAGGATCCATCGGGCAAGGGGAAAGCAACTCCTAATAAGTAGGGTGTCCCTTTATTACCCAAATCAGGTCACTGCTCAGAGCAGAACAGTTATGCATCAGAGAAATCTCTGAATTATATTTTTCTCCTTCTTCTTCCTTGTTTCTTTCATCAGCAAGTTCTATGGTCTGTCCCTTCAAAATATTTCCATGATTTGTTCTTTCTTCTCCATTCCTGCTCCTCAGCATCAGTCCAGATCCTTACAAACTCCTTTTTTTTTTTTTTAATATTTTGATAGGGTTTTTTTATTGTGGTAAAACAAACATAACAAAATTTACCATTTTAACTATTTTTAAGTGCATGGTTTGGCAGCATGAAGTACATTCACATTGTTGCATAACCATCTCCACCATCCATTTCCATTCTTCCATTTTTTATCTTCCCCAACTGAAGCTTAGTACCCATTAAAAGTATTCAAGAAGGCTTCATGAATGTTCATATCATCCTCATATGGGGCCATACTAATCTCTGTATGATTCCAATTTCAGTATGTGTGCTCCCCAAACGAGCACCCCTTATGACCTCTTGCCTGATTATTGTGATCTTCTAATGCCTCTACTCAGCTACTATCTTGAATGCCCATGCTGCCATCAAGGTGGAGCTCTAGGACACAGAGTAATTCTCTGGCTTAAAACCCCCCAGAGTCTCCACTTTCCTACGAGATGACATCCAGGCTCTTACGCAGGGCATCCAAACCTCCCACAATCCGCCTCTGCCTTCCTCACATTTACCGTCATCATCCTGCTTCCCTCCACCCCACCGTCTCCCAGTGACCTTTCTCCATATCAGCAACAGGGGTGGCCAACAGGAGCAGGCTGACAAAACTAACCTTGACTCCATGCTTCATATGTGGTTGATTTTGGGTGAATCTGAGTTCCAGTGCCTTTCATCTCACTGTGTCTGCTTTGCTGTCTTGCTGAAATGCATTTTTAAACCCACTCTTCATGTATCACTTAGCTATGAAACCTTTCTAAGCTGTCCCTGTTCCTCAATGATAACTAGCTCCCACTTCCTTGGGGCCTCCATGCTGGTATAACGTCGGTTACGCTGAGTCTTGTCTGTGGTGGTCATGTCCTAAAGATCAGCAGATCTATACATAGCTCATTCTCAGAAACAGAGCTAGAGAATAGCATCTCCACTCTCTTGTTTTAACTTCTTCCATGTCTTCGACCTATTTCCACTCTCCCAACAAATGAAGCTTTTCTTCAAGCTTCTCAGAAATCTGAAAACTGAAAGATCATCCAGATTGAAGAAAATATCCCTTACCTGTAATTGGCTGGCTAAGTTCTTGATTTTATGGGAGACTATCCAGACACAGACCCATTTTCTCTTATTTCCTTTATAGAGGCAGCTCATGATGGAGGTAGAGTGAGAGGCAAGGCAGAGAAAGACCTTGTAGGACTGCCTTAGGAGGATGCCTGAACCTGGTTCCTTAGTCCTGGCTCCGCATTATGTGTAAGAAGTGTCCAGGAAACAGAACAAAACCTTTGCTTTTCCTATGAGACACAACAGACAGCATTCCACTCAGACTGTAAGTGCTCCACCCCTGCAGGACTCAGGACAAGGCTGGGGACTTCATGGATTACAATCTTGAAACCATAGACATTCAGAGCCAGAGGCGATCTAAGGCTCCATCTCTGTTTCACATTTGGGGCCTGAGGATTGTGTCCAGTTGTGCTCTGAAGGTCTCATTCGAGGTGAAGCATAGGGAAGACAGGTAGGAGGAGTTGGTGTTTCACTGAACAAGGCCTTTTTTTCTCTTCTAGCAGGGGTATTAAGGACACTTCCTAGTCAAAAGTGTCTCTCTCCTTATTAATTAATTCATTTCATTATATGTATTTGAGGACTTACTTTGTCCCAGCCATTGTGGATACTGTGGCAGAAAATACAGAGTCCTAACCCTCATGGAGCTCACACTGTATTTGTGGAGATAGATAATAATAAAGTGAGGACACAGTAATATATGCTTATGAAGGAGCAAATTCTATGAAGATAAAAGGTAGGGTGACACAGAGTACGTAACAGGGGCCCTGACTTGTTCTGGGGCTCAGCCTTCAGGTTTGAGAGATTCAGTGATTTGTCTGAGTTCACACACCTAGAGGATGGGTCCTCTGACTTCAAGGGCTGTTAACCAACTTGTTAACAACCTTGTCAAGACGGGCGCACAAGCTCCTCTGCGAGACGTATTGGGTTATACGTGCTATATATGGTTCTAGTTATTTCCTGAAGGCCTTCTTTGATTCCTAGACCAGGTTAGCATCCCTGCTGTGGGTCCCCTGGGGCTCTCTATTTACCCTACCACAGCACTCATCACAGTGTTATAACTCCTTCCTTAATTGGCCGCCTTCTCTATTATACAGGACTATTCTTAAATTCAGATAGCATGTGTCTCTTGTCATTTCCGTATCCCCATTACCAGGTCCAGGGTCTCACAGAGGGTGGGTGCCCTATGGGTATATGGGAAGAGGCAAGGGGTCAGGGACTGAATAGTATCTCTGCATGTAGTTGGGCTCTGGGAGACATGAAGGCAGAACTAACTTTGGGGGGAAAATGTAAAAACAGCTTGATACTTAAGAAACTAAAAAAAAATCTGGGCGCCTGGGTGGCTCAGATGGTTAAGCGTCTGCCTTCAGCTCAGGTCATGATCCCAGGGTCCTGGGATCGAGTCCCACATCGGGCTCCCTGCTCCTTGGGAGCCTGCTTCTCCCTCTGCCTCTCTCTCTCTCTCTCTGTCTCTCATGAATAAATAAATAATAAAAATCTAAAAAAAAAAAAAAAAAAATCTGAGAGTCCTGATATACACAGTCCATTGGCGCCATGTTTAATGTGCTCCCAGGACAGAGAAAGTCAAAGGGATGCCTTTGCTAACTCACTTGGTACCACTGAAATAACTGAGATTTCCTAATGGTCCTAGAAGAAGAGTTCACTCTGATGGCTTCAGTAGTTCAGATGAATTCACTGATATCTGGAAACAGCAAGTATGGACAGTTGGGTATCAGGATATTTTTTGTAGCAACTTACAGAAAACTCCAACTCAAATTATTCTAAGCAATCAGAATATTCCTTATCTCCCATAATTGCAACTTCAAAGGGTCAAAGCTGAACTTGAGAAATCTGCATTCTTTCCATCCCTTTCTCTTTTCTTTTCAGTGTAGGTGTCTCCCTGAGTCAGACTGAAGCAGTTCCAGGTGTCAATCCTGGACACCTATATCCAGAAGCAGTACCCAGAAGATGAGAAGCTGGCCTCTCCTGGACTTGTTTCCTAAGAATGGGGAAATCTTTTCCAAAAGCTCTTCAGAAGACATTCCCTCACATCTCATTGGCTAGAATTGGTCACGTGGCCATTCCCAAACCATTCACATACTGAGGGGAAGGGCTGCCATGAGTGGCTTACTATGGAATGGATATTGGAAATCCCATCACAAACATCTACCTTAACCTAGCAAATCAGTGAGAATGGCTTTTCAAAAGGTAACTCTTGCCACCCCTCAGGTAACGCCATATGGTATGTCACTTCCTTTGCTGATATGATGCGTCATTCTCCTTGACTTTGGACCACATGCCCAGAGACAGTGCTGGCCAGACCCCTGGGACCCTTTTACACACCATGGCCTTGAACTCTACTGGGCTGTACCAGCCTTAGCATGGGACTTTCCCACAGTCTGATCTCCATTCCCCAAGCAGAATAAGTGGATTTTTTTTTTTTCATATAACACGAATCAATGCTCCATGACAAATGCGCTTTTTTCCACTTATTCCTTTGCAATTGTTGGCCATGGATCTTTTATGCCTCCATCTTTATGTCACAGAGATAAAAATGATAGAAAAATGAGAAATCAATTAAGTCACAAGAAAATAACCACTGCTAAAGTAAAGCAATTACACCAGGGCTAATAACCTCCCCAGCAACAGTTAGACAGTTATGTCAAGTAAATTTTGAAATAACAGGAGTTGTATTGACCCAGAAAAACAATGTATTGCCTTTATTGTCAGTCACTATGGTTTCAAGTCCTGGGAGCCTGATTTAATTAATGATGGAAGAGCTAAATCTTTATTCATACACAGCTGTCCTGAGAGTTTGCCCCAGACAATGCAAGTCTTCCTTCCTCTCTCCTTCCCTCCCTCTCTGCCTTTCTTCTTCTCTCCCTTCTTTCCTTTCTCCCTTCCTTCTTCCCTTTCACATATATGGAGGATCTACCATCTGCCAGAAACTGATCTAGGCTCTAAATAGCCAGAAATGTCCATATTAGGTGTGTGTGTATCAGAGTGACACGGCACCTCTGTCCTGTGATTGGTGCCCTTTATCGGTCAGACCTGCATTGTTCATTCTCTCCAGCATTTACAGAGTGAGCATTAGGTACTCGATTTGAAATCCAGAAATGAAGAGACAAAGTTCTATACTCAAGAGATACAGCCACACAAGCGGGTGATGACACTACCACGAAGCCTTCATGGCGACAAGGACGAGCTGAGCTTGGAGGCTTTGGGTGAACACCCGAGGCATTACTTGGCCTAGGGCCAGCAGTGGCCGTTCTGTGTGGAGTTGGTATGTGGCGTGAGACGTGCAGAATGTGAACGGGGTTGCCAGAAGCAGGGCAGCAAGGGAGGGTGAGTGTGGAGGAGTGCTCGGGCATAAGGAACGATGTGTACAAAGGCACAGGGATGAAAGGAGTGAGGGGTGTCCCTTGTTGGTTATGCCTGGAGTAGGAGCTGAAAGGGAGAGCATCAGTAGCTCCCCTGAAATAGCCAGGGGAGCTTTGAGAAAGACAGGACATCCGTCTTATGGGATATGACATGTATATAAAGTGACAATGTGGCAGAAAAGCCAGTAACTTAGTTATTTGTGTATTCTCTCCTTTCTTCATTATGGCAATTCCTATTAACTGAAAATAAAACCATATTCAAGATGAAGAAGCAAATGACAAACGAGGGATGTATTTGCAACATATAAAAAAAGAAAAAGGTTATTGTATAAGGAGTGTGTCTCATGATAGAGAAAAAAGAAAATAAAAACAAAATGAAGAGACTAACAAGTTCAGAAACAATGAGAGTATTTAGAATATAAATATGCATATGGTAGAATTGCCATTTCATACCATGTAGAAAAGATAGATTATTCAATATTCAGTAAGTGGTGTTGGGACAAATGACCTGGCATTAGAAAAGTAGATTTAAGTTAGATCTTGAATTCATATGTAACATCGAAAGTAAATGGTATTGGGGCAATTGGAAAATCGAATCAAATGCTTTTTTAAAAGAGATTTATTTATTTGAGAGAGAGAGAGCATGAACAGGAGGGGTAGAGGGAGAGGGAGAGAGAATCCCGAGTAGCGCTGAGTGCGGAGCCATTGCAGGGCTCCATCCCACGACCCTGAGTTCATGACCTGAGCCGGACCAAGAGTCAGACCCTTAACTGACTGAGCCACCCAGTCACCCCAAATCAAATACAGTTTTTAAAGTGACATTTTTCGGGGCGCCTGGGTGGCTCAGTCGGTTAAGCGGCTGC